CCTGCAATCTGGAAATGCTGCTTTTGACAGCTAAGAATCCAAGTGTTCAATTTCCTCCCAGGGCCCCCACAGAGGCTTTGACTGTTTTTCCAGGAAGGAAGAAACAAACAGTTGTGCACACACAGATGTGGTGGGCAGGGAACACATGGCTGTGGATTTGGGCTGTGAAGGAGGAGAAGGGTCCAGCTGTCAGCTGACAACTTGGGGAGAGGGTCCACGCCCCCAGAGAGGACTCAAGGACTATCAGAGGTGGTGGTTGCCGTCCTCAGTACCTGGGGGGTGACACTGGCTCCAGGGAGACCCTCTGCTCTGAGCCCCTCACTTCACACCCTGAATAACTGGGACTCAGCGCAAGGAAGGAGTGAGCTATGGGACATCTCCTGCAGTGGGGAGGGGAGCATGAGATCCCAGTCTCACTTTTGCAAGGGACTCCCCACCCTATCCACACAACTGCAGGGAGAGGAGGCTCAACTGTAACTCAGACCACACTACTTCCCTGTAAAAACTCAGAATAAAATTCCCACAGGCGCTGGCCCCCATGACATCCCAGACCCTCCATCGCTCCTCTGCTCTGGCCACCATTGTCTCCCTGCTCCCACCCCAGGGTCCCTGCCCTTCCCCAGATCATCCCATCTCACCACCTCACAGAGGCCCACCCTGACCAGGGTTCCCAGATAAATCATAGGGCACCCAGTTGAGTTCTCATTTCAGTATTTCAGATGAGTAACTTTTAAGTATGTCACAAATACTGCATGAGACATACTAAAAATTGATTTGTCATTCACCTGAAATCCACATTTACTCAGCAGCCCTGGGTGCTTTAACTTGCTAAATCCAGCCACCAGTCCCCACCTCCCAATGTCAACCTTGAGTAAAGTCACTCATTCTCACACCTGCATTTATCATCTTCACAGCCCACGTCACCATCTGAAATGACGCCTCTGTTAACTCCCTCACCCTCTGTTTCTCTACACTGTGAGCCTCATAGCAGCAGGGAGCAAGATCTGTCTTATTCAGGGCAGCATCCTCAGGGCCTAGTACCGTGCCTGGCACAATAGGTGCATAGTACGTATTCAGGAGACTTTATCACGTAAGATGGTGAAAAAACACAAACTCTGGAGTCAAACTACATGGACTCAAATCCTGGCCCCACTTCCTGGCTGTGTAAGGTTGCACAATGACTTAACCTCTTTGGGCCTCAGTTTCCTCACCTGTAAAGTGGGTATAATAACAGTACCCACTGTTTAAAGTGGTTAGGGAGTTTTCATGAATTCATATCCACAAAGCACTAAGAACAGGGCCCCGCACCAAGAGAACGTTCATTCAGGTCTAGTCTGTGATCACGTCAGTAGCAGCGGTTGAGTCAAGGGTGAGGGGGTGAGGGATTCTCCCACTGTCCACAGAGGGGGTGGCGCCCACCAGGACCCTTGCTGGGTCTACTGCTGCCCTCCCTCTCCTGGAGCCTGTCCACAGAGCTCTGTGCCCAACTACAACCTCAGCACCGGATGCCGCCTCAGCAGGGAGTGAACAAGCCTGGATATGAGGCTGGCCTGGAGACACTGCCCTGGGGTTGTGGTGGACACCGTGGTGGGCCACGTGGGCCCCATCAGGACAGAGGCACCCATGGGCCTGAAGCTTTACACACACTCCTGGGACAGCCCATGTCCAGGGACTGGCACCGCAGGGTGCAAAGGCCCACCCCATTGCTGCAATTCCAGGAGACCTGAAGCAGAGTTCCTCCCGGTGGGGAGTGCGCAACCTCCTTTTCAGCTGCTTCCAACCACCTGTGCGCAAATCTCCAGCTTCCAGAAGCCCAGCCCACAGCAGCTTATGAAAAGTAGTCAGCGTGCTCTTCCATGAGGGCGGGGGAAGCGGGGGTGACATTTCCAATTAAAATGATGGTTCTGACTTAAAAACACTGAATCACACAGGAGAAAGCTGACTCCTTTTTCAATTGTTCCAGTTATCTCAGCTTGGTGTGATATGACTCAAACACCATCCAACAGGGTTCATCTTCCCTTTGATCTAACCGGGCAGGCCTCAGGCTCAGAACCCCAGGTGGGGGAGTTTCTAGACAGAATGCGGTAACTCAGTTTGGTTTCTATTGCATTCCTTTTTAAGGTTACCTTCTATTTTTAGCAATCATTTTCCATTTCCAATGATGATGCAAATTTCCCTTTTTAAATGTCTATTTAAGGTGGGGGTTTTTTTCAAGTAAATCTATTTCTTAAATGATAAAACAAATAATAATATGAAGGGTACCCTGATATAGCAGAAATTACAAACAGTGTACTAGTATGAATCAATGAAGTCTGGCTTTGCCATTAGGAGGGTTCAAATCCCACTTCTTCCACCTATATAGGCATGACCTTGGATTTAACCTTTCTCTCAGGTTGCTTGCCTGTTGAGTAAGCTGTCTGTCCCCTGCTATTCTTGATGCAAGGACAGAGCCGTGGACATGACAAAGTCCCTACCCTCCTGTTGCTGATATTCCAGGAGGAACAGACAAGGAACAAAAAGCAGCAAAATATCCAATGTATCAGAGGGTGATAAGGACCACTGACAAGAATAAGTGTATGTGGGGGCGGGGGCGCTGGAAGGAGCGTGACAATTCTGAACAGAGTGGGCATGAAAGAGCTCACAGAGAAGAGGGCATTTCCGTGAAGATTTCAAGGCAGGAAGGGACAAAGTCGCAGGGACGCCTGAGGGAACCGGCCAGGCGGAGGGAACAACACACTCAACAGGCACGGGTTCCCTGTGTTCCAGAACAGCGAGGAAGCCAGTGTGACTGCAGTGGCGAGAGTGAGGTCCCAGGAACTGGCAGGGCCTGGCAGAGTCTAATAGATCACCAAGTGCCCCAGACAACGCTGGGAGATGCCAGAGTGCTGGGTCCCATGAGCAAATATGTACATAGTGCAAATAAGCAAACATACACTGAGCACTATTAATATGCCAGGTGCTGCTACTTTCATTAATTCTCTCAACCACCTTACAAGGTGGGTTTCACTACCTCCACTTTACAGATGAGGAAACTGAGGCACGGCCAGGGGAAGTCATTCTCCCAGCATCACAGAGCTGGGAAGCAGCAGAGCCAGGAGGCAAGGTCAGGCACCAACCTCTAAAAAAACGCGATCTCGAGGGACCAGGCAGGATGTGTGATGGGTTCTCAAGATTCAGGGAAGGTCCTGCCCCACAATGACCACACAGACTTGAACTTCACCATCGGTGCACCAGGATTCTGATGGGAAGCACTGTCCCCGTCAATGCCCAATCTGATGAGGCTACATGAGGAGGGTCTGGGCAGTGGAGAAGGAGAAGGTATGGAGAAGAGGTTGCCTCCCAGGCAGTAAATTCCCCACCCTCTCCTCCATCTGTCTGTCCCCTGCATCTCTGAACAAGTTAGGAATCCTGTAGAGAGAGTGGGGAGAGCTCAAGTGGACACTCAGGATCCAGAGAATCTCAATGATGAATAGTGACACTTGCTCACCACACCTCTGAGGCTCCAGCACCAAAGTCAGGGGACCTGGGTGGCCTGGGGTTATTGGCAAACAGATAATGCACCTTGAGGACCTCTTCCCCCATACTGGCTAAAGTATGGACTATCCCACCCTGAGATGTCATCACTTCATGGCCAGCCCCAAGAATGCCACCTCCTCCTGAAAGCCTTCCCTGGTGCCCCAGCTGGAATAACGCCCCCGGCTGACACTCATGCAGCATCAGCTCAGTGCCTGCCTGGATCTAAGTGCGTCACTCACATTAACTCATTCATCCACTCCTACTCACCCCTTCTCACCATCTCCAATCTACCACCCTGTCCAGGCACCATCATCTCAGACGGCACAGTGACCTCTTCCTGTTCTCCCTGCACCTCCACAGTCCACTCCCCCTCGCAGCAGCCACAGGGCCCTCTGAACCCAAAGCAGATCACGTCTTTGCTCTGCTCAGCACCCTCCACTAGTGGCCATCTCCCCTGTGCCCGACCATGTTCTCGTGTTTATTCTGTTCCAAACACTAAGGAATGGTGATTAAATGAATAGAAAGATATCATCCAACATTCTTTTTGTTAATCCTCAACCAAAGATATTTTTTCTATTACTATTTTCTTTTAGAGAGAGTGGAAGGGAGGGAGGGAGGTGAAGAGGAAGGGAAGGAAAGAAGAAAGGGGAAAGAGAGAGAGAAACATTGATGTTCAAGAGGCACATTGATTGGTTGCCTCCTACACATGCCCCAACCGGAGCCAGGGATTGAACCTGTAACCCAGGTATATGCCTTTAACCGGAAATAAACTGGAGACCCTTTAGTGCTCTAACCAACACTCTAACCACTGGGAAACACCAGCCAGGGCAATCGCATCCAACATTTATTGAGCATTTACTGTGTGCCAGGAGCTGTTCTGAACACTAGCTCCCTCACTGCTCAATAACAGCATGGGGAGCTCTAGTTTTTTGTGTGTGTGGTCCGCAGACCACCAGTTGGCGACCGCTGCTTTAGAGAAGGGAGTTAGTGATGATGACAACAATGACTCCGCAAGCGCCAATGTGGACCCAGAGCATATTCTACACCAGGGTTTCTCACTCTCGGCACTGCTCACATTTGAGGTGGAATAATGCTGCCGTGGGGGCTGTCCTGTGCATTAGAGGATGTTTGGTGGCATCCCTGGCCTCCACCCACTAGAAGCCAGTAGCCACCTGCCCCCACCCCCCACCCCCCGCAACCCCAAAGCTGGTTCATAGATCAATGCTCAACCACTGAGCCACACCAGCTGGGCTCCAAAGCTGTAACAGTAAGAAATGTCTCTAGACAATAGCCAAACATGCTCAGAGGCAAAATCACCCATGACTGAGAACCACTGCTCTATGCCACACACTTCACTGCTTTATCTCTTTGAGTCTTTCTATCAACCCAAGGATGTAGGCCTGATGATCCCTACTTGTCAATCAGGGGAGAAGCCCACTTCCCAAAACCTGTAGGCTCCGACAGGGCTGGGGCATGGTACTCACGAATCTTAAGAAAACGTTCCCAAGTTCGTGCTGAGACTGAGGCTCCGGATGCAAACAATACTCCAAGGCAGCCAAGAAATCCTTATGAACTTCCAGGATATCTTCGATGTTCGAGAACAGGATCTGTCGGGGAAAGCGAGGCCCAAGGACAGTGTCAATCAAGGCACAAGGGCGAGCAAAATCAAGCATGAAATAAATGCATAACCTCCAGAGCAAGCAAGAGTGCGGTGACGTGGACACCCACACACTGAGTGAGCCAGATTACACTAATAAAAACAATGACCATGATAAAAAAGATTGCCAACATTAACTCAACGGGATTAATGCCTAATCCTGTGCTAAGAACTTTATATGCATTTATGGCAGCTAATCCTCACTCTGACTCCATGAGGTAGAAACCATCATTATCCCCCATTTGTAGATGAAGAACAGAGGCTCAGAGGAAATAATTAAGATTGCCAAGGTCACACACACATACACACGATAAGCAGCAGAACTGAGCTGCACCATCAGCGTGCGGAGAATTTATTAGACATTCATCTCAGTCTTCAGCATGGCCACAACCGGTATGGCCAACCATATGACTGGTTTTTAAAGCAATCAAGGTACTTCAATGCACCATTAAAATGAAGTAGCAGAAGAAAATACAACAGGGAAGCATGTTCGACATATGCTCTTTCAACTCTCACAACCAATATATGAGTGCCTATGTCCCCTAATGAATCTATAAAGCTTGAAATGCACATACTCTCTCACCCAGCATTTCTACATTTCAGAATTTGACCTTCCAGTCAGTCATTTCCAATTAGAACAATTTTGCCTCCCAAGTGACATTTGCCAATGCCTGGAGACATTTTTGTTTGTCGCAAATTGTGGGGGAAGATGCTACTGGCATCTCATAGGTGATGCTGCTAACCGTCCTATCATACATAGGAGAGACCCTCCTCCCCCCCAAACCCACAGCAAACAATCGTCCAGCCCAAAGTGTTAACTGTGCCAAGGATGAGAACTGGGTGAATGGCCACAAACATATACTGCAGCCTTACTGCAGTAGCGAAAGACTGGGGAAAGGCCGAATGTTCATTAATGAGGACTCATCAAATAGTTAAATCATCTGGACTGGTCACCATTAACTACAGTCCACATACTAAAATACTATGTGGCCTCTAAAAAGAATCTGCAGATCTGGATTTATGGATATGGGCCATGGAATGATCCTTGATATATATTGCTGAGTGGGGGGAATCAGGGTGCCAAACAGAATTCCAGTATTGGCCCATTTGTGTAAAATAACACACAAAAAGGTCACTCCTCTCCATGCTGGCAGGAGCAGGGACTGCCTGGACAAGGACACATGCTGGTAACTTAAGGGCCTCTGGGAAGGAGACTCAGGGGAGACTTTCATTTACTTTAGGTTATTTTAAACTGCATAAATGGCTTTTTCTGTTTCTTTTTTTAAAAAAACAAAAGCATTTTTAATTAAATGTATTGGTATGATATTGGTTAATAAAATTATATAGGTTTCAGGTATACAATTCTATGATACCGCATCTGTATATTGCATTGAATGGCCACCACCCAAATCTTCTTAAACAGATGCATTTTCAATTTAATTTTGAAGAAGGCACTCACATAATTCAAAAATCAAAAACACAGTAATATAAATTCAGTGAGGAGTCCCTTTCACGGTCACCACCCAAAGTCAAATCTTCTTAAACAGATGCGTTTTCAATTTAATTTTAAAGAAGGCACTCACATAATTCAAAAATTAAAAGCACAGTAATATAAATTCAGTGAGGAGTCCCTTTCCCACCATCTCCCCACTTTCCACCCACCGTGGCTTGAGGTAACCAGTGTTACTACTAGTTTAAGGTTCCTTCTTGGGTTTCTTATTCACTTATTCATTCAGCAAGTACTGACTGAGCACCTACTATGTGCCAGGCACTGTTAGAGGCCTGGAAACACAGCAGGGAACAGACAAGTGTCTAACGCCATGGAGGTGACATTCTAGTGAAAGGGGAAAGACAACAAACAAATAACTACAGTTTTCTAGATGCAATAAGAGACAAATAAAACAGGAAGAAAGTGCCAGGACAGGGCAGAAGAAGTTTGCAAATTTAAATACAGAAGCCAGGGACAGCCACTCTGAGAAGGTGACATTTAAATCAAGTCCTGAAAGAATGAAGATCAGCCCTGTGGATCCCTGGACCCGAGAATGCACCAGAGAGTCTGCAGAGAGAGACGGCCTGAGAGTGGGTAGGGAAGGCTGAGGTGCTAAGGGCCTCATCCTGGGGGACGCTCATCCTGGGGGACACTCATCCCAAGAAGTGGCTGGACGAATCACCCTCATCGTCTGTGGTTAGTTTTCCTTCTCTCATCTGTCAAGATCACATGGTTGAATCTCTCTGCTTATGTCAAAGACTCATATGATAGATCCTACTGTTACCCTTGCTTCAAGGAATGGCTGTAAAATTTCAAAATAAATATCTGTCTCCCTGAGTTTACACCCAAAAGAACTGAGAGCCTGTGTCCACCAAAAGATGTAACATTAACGGTCATAATAGCCAAACCTGGAAATAACTCAAATATCCACCACAGGAGAATGGATGAGTAAACTGTGGTACATTCATTCCATGCTACTACACAGCAATAAAAAGAGTGGGTCAACAACATGGGTAAATCTCACAGACATAACAGTGAGCAAAAGGCCCCAGATATAATGAAAGAGCCCATTTTTATATAAAATTCAAGGACGGGCAAAATCAATTAATGCTAACCAATCAGCAGTTATCCTTGGGGAGGGGGCATTATTGGGATGGGACACAGAGGAGCCCACATTTAGAACTGCAACCTTTACTATATATGAGTTATACCTCATAAAAAGATCACTATTTTAAAAAATAGTTTACTGATGCTGAGAGAGAGAGGGAGATAGATTGAAACATCAATGATGAGAAAGAATCATTGATCAACCACCTCCTGCATGCGCCCTACTGGGGATGGAGCCCACAACCTGGGCATGTGCCCTGACAGAACTGAATCAGCACAGGACAACGTCCAACCAACTGAGTCACATCAGCCAGGGCAAGAGGTAATTTAAAAAACACACACACACACTGTAATAAATTGCAATCTGAAATTATAATAACTTTTAAGTTGTAACAGATTGTAATAAAGAGATATAATAAACAGTATGTGCTCAGTAAATACTTGCTGAATGAATGAGTGAATGAATGAATGAAAAGTTCTGATCCCCGTGCTATCAGGGACCAGCCATGCAGTGACCCAGAACAGGTCTCTTTCCATCTCTAAGCCTCAGCTTTCTTACCCAAAACACTGAGCTCAGAATTGTCAACGTGCAGGTCACTGTCCAGATTAATCAAGACATGTGGGCAGGCGGGTGGGGCGGTGTGGGGAGTCCTGCTTGACCAAGTCCTTTGTGTGCTATACAGGCTCACACTTCTGACCCCTCCCTGCCCTGTCTCCCCTTCTCCCCTGGGACCAGGACCCTGGAGCCCCAAGGACTGAAGGCAGCTTCCCAGAGAGTGAGGTCACACGAGAAAGCCAGGCCCGGGGAGCACTGGGGCCTCCACCGTGCACACAGAAGGCCTATTGACGTCCTCCCGAAACTCCCCAGAGCCACTGCCAAAACGAAGCCGGGCCCAATTATTCATCTCCCTGCCTGCACATTCAATGCCCAGTGCAGGTCGGGGGCTGGAGGTGTCAGGCTCCCAGGGGCGCCTGGGAAGGGATTTTCCGCTGGCTGGAAGCCAGGGGGCTTGGCACAAGGAAGCTAGAAGACAAGATGGTCATGTTAAGCAGGGAGAAAGTCCTGAGCTGGGGAGTGGAAGCCTGAGGCTGAGTCCTCCTGACCCACCAGGCACAGTTTGCTCACAGGACTGAGAGGCCCTGGGGGCTGCAGGGAGCCTGCTACAGGAAGACAAAAGCAGCTGCTAGTGAGGCATCCCAGACCCCCGAGCACCCTCTAAGCATCGCTCAGGGAGGAAGCAAGGCACACAGCAGCAGGGACAGTCTGCAAAGGGACCAGCTCAGGTGTCCACACCTTGACATTGTCCTCCGTAAGGCCCTTCTCCGCTGAGTCCACCACGTTCTGCCGGATGCGATGCAGAAATGCCTGGAGGAGAGAAGCAGGAAGATATGAGTGTCCACGCCTTGATCTCCCAGGGGTGGCCCGAAAGAAAGGTCATAAGTTCAAATACCAAGTAGGACCCAGGAAGTACCACAGTCCAGGGACATGGGCAGCGAATCAGGAAAAACTACTCTTCCATCCAGTCAACAGATGTTTATTGAGTATCTACTACATCAGGCCCCATGCAGAAAACACCCCCGAGCCCTGCCCTGCTTCACCACCATGGGCCCCTCTCAGACTATTATTCACTTTCTCTTTTTTTCTTTTTCTAAAAGTTTAATTTCTAAATAATAACACATTCACATGGCTCAGAAATACAAAAAAATATCTCTCCTACACTGCAGGCCCCATCCATCTAGTCCCTCCCCAGCCCCCACAGGAACCACCACTACTAGATCCTAGTACATCCTTCCAGAAGATCTTTATGTAAAAAATGCACACACATGCTGGTCAAAGAGTCCGAACGTCCAGTTATAAGATGAACAAGTTCTAGGGATCTAATGTATACCCGGTGATTACAGTTAATGCTGTATTATATACTTGAAAGTTGCACTGTGGTGATAATCACTTTGCAGTATATACCTGTATGAACCCAACACATTGTACACAGTTACACGATGTTATATGTCAAATATATCTCAATAAAACTGGAAAAATGAACACACATGTGGGTATACATGTACATACACATACATATATGTACATATATTCTTTTTTAAATATATTTTTATTGATTTCATAGAGGGAGAGGGAGAGGGAGAGAGAGACAGAAACATCAATGATGAGAGAGAATCATGGGTCAGCTGCCTCTTACACACCCCCTACCTACTGAGGATTGAGCCCGCAACCCAGGCATGCGCCCTGAGAGAGTCAATGTTCAACCATTGAGCCATACCTGCCGGGCTATACATATAATATTCTTATTCCTTTTTCTTTTTTACATTCCAAAGAATGGCAGCAAACACAGGATGTGCTGGCCCTGCTTTTTCTACTTAATATAACTTATTTATTATCTCTCCCTGTCATCACACAGGGAAGCACCATATTCTCTTTTTACAGCTGCCCAGGATCCTACTGTATGGATGGACCACAGTTGGTCCTATCACTTTTTTCAGGGGCTCGGAAGAGAGAAATCCTTTCTCTCCTGGGTGATGTGTCAGGCAACAAAGGAGAGGAGCAGTGGGGTCTGTGGGGAACAGGCAGCGCACACCCATCGAAGGAGTGGCCACTTGTCCCCTCCGAGGGTGGCCGGTGGGAAGGCAGCAGGCCCAACATCACCAGATGTTCTGGGTTTGAGGTTTTTTTGGGGGGGAGGGGGGGTGTTGTTATTTTTCCAAGAGAAGCCAGAAATTAGGATTTCTTAAAAGTAAAGTCTCCCAATTTTTAAATGTTGTCAAAATAGCCCTCCGTTTCTGTGAGGAATTGGATATTAGGGGTTGAGCATGAAAGTGGGGGGACCAGAGTAGAGGGGTGCAGCCGTGCTGAGAGATGATATGATGGTGGCCTGGCTGGTGTGGGTGGGAGAGCAGACACTGGAAGAGCTACTGAGAAAGTCCGGTGGACGGGCAAGGGGACACAACAAATATGGGACAGAAAGGTGGAAATGGGAGACAGCACAGGAGGGAGACCTAGGCCAGTCATGCACTGCAAACCCACCCGGTTTGTCTGGACTCTAGGACTCAGTCCCAGGTTGACCTGGCAACATCCAGGTGGAGACCCTGCAAAAATGACTTCATGGTCCTGTCACGGCCACAGGGCCAAGATGAGCTATGGTGGCCAGCAGGAGCCCTCCCTGCAGCGGCTGATTAAAACACAGGGACTCCGGGAGGGGGGAGCCGGATGAGCACACACTGTCCCTGTCAGAGCTCAGCTGCAGGTTAATTAAGTGGGTGTCTCATCCAACCACGCTTGTCTGAGGAGATCTCTGAGTGGTGGGGAGATGGAGGGGACAGTCCAGAGTGGACGGAAACAGGGGAAGGTGGCAGGAAGGAGGCTGGCCCTCCACAGACGGCTGTCGGATCCTTGCCCATCACCCAGAGAGGCGCCCATGGCTGTGATGAGGAGTGGTCACCTGCAGGTGTCCACATGGGGGGCCACAGAGAGGAAAGTCAGGGACATAAAGCAAGGCAGCTTTGCCTCTGTCCCACTCACTGCAGGGCAATCTCCACCAGCCCCTCCGCCTGTGTTTACATCCCCAGCCTGGACTTCTCCCCGATATCCAGACTCCTACCCGGATTTCTGCCAACCCGGATGTCCAAGGGGCATCTCAAATTTAACCATCCAAAGCCTAGCTCCTGATCCTCCCTCCAACCCACACCACCAAGCTCTTCCCAGCCTGGTTAATGGCACCTCTGCTGGTGCTCCAGCCAACCCACCGGCCCACCCCAGTGGTCCTTGATCCTTGACCTCCTTTCTCTGACACTCCATATCCATCTCTTAGTATAGTAAAGGCTATCCTCTTCACCCTCCGCATGTATTAGAAATCCGACCACTGATCCCCATCTCCTTAGCCACCCATCTGATCCAAAGTCATCATCTTTCCTGCCTGGACTAATGCAGTCCCCTCCTCCCCGTCCCCCCTGCCTCCCACCCCACCAAAAGTCTTCACACAGACAGCCAGAGGGATCCTTTTAAATACTATGTAAATCAGATCCTGTCAATCCATGGCTTAAAACTCTCTACACTATACTTTTAAAAATTCTAAATCTTTCCACAGTCCATAAGGTCCTAGTTAATCTCTCTAAACTCCCCTTCCAGCATTCCATCCCCCCACACCTCAATAATCTTCAGCCATACCTTCATTCTCTCTATTCCTTCCACCTGTCAGGCACATTCCTGCCTCAGGACCTTTGCACATGCTCTTTCCTCCACCTGGAATGATTATCCCCCAGACCCTGGTATGGCTCATTCCCTCTCTACATCCACATCTCTCCGACTAGCAGGATATTCTCCCCCAGCTCTCCTCTGGGCCAGCTTCTTCTCATTCATCAGGCCTTAGCTCAAATGTCACCTCCAAGAGGCCCTCCTGTCTTCATGCACTTATCACCTTCCTGTCTGGCATTAAAAGCGGACTTAACAAACAAAAAGACTAAGTTTAAGCAATCTACACCAGCTCCTAAGAGAGAGGCCAAGACAAGAAGGGAGCGTGGCCGGAAGGAAACTTTTACCCTAATCCAACAGCAGAGGCCAGGTTTGGAAACTGATGATTTGGTTTACACGGCAGTCCTTCTCCTCCCTGCTGTGTGTGCGACCTCAGGAAAGTACATTAGCTTCTTTGAGCCTCAGTGTATTTTTCCCAAATACGGAGAACTTATTATAGTGTCTTGCCTTCCAGAATGTATCAGGATAAAGTAAGTGGAAGCTCCATGAGGGCAGGGACCTTGCCTCCCTTATTCCCAGCTGTCACCCAGGGTTGAGTCTAGCGCCTGGCACTCAGAAACCAAAGGAAGGGATAGAATGTGCCTGGCACAGTGCCTGACACATGGCAGGAGCCTCAACTGGGGCCACTTGGTAACCTGCTGATTTTTATTCTCAAAGGATAACGCGTGGAGGGGACAGGGCCCAGGAGTTCCTAGACGATGTTTTAACAGGGCCTGTGATGCTGCTGGGAAATCCAGCCTCCGGCCTCCTCAGACCGGAGGGAGACAAAGCACAGCCAGGGAGAGAGAGCAGGAAGCTGGGCGTGCAGTGAGGCTGACCTAGATCAGGGCTTCCTGTCCCGGTTTCTTCACACGAGCAGGGCCACCACTATTGTGCTGGGACAATGAGAGGCTCGAGCCACCCACAGAGGAGCCGCAAACAGGCCAGTGTGATGGGCTCAATGGGCAGCTCGTCACCCGGAAAGAATGGGCAGGCAGGGGCTACGGGCCCAGCCTCGTGCTACTCAGGACATGACCGGCTTTTCCAGGCGGCGCCAATGCCCTTGGTACAGGCGGGGATGGAAGGGACCCACTGGGGCAGCTCCTTGTCCCAGCCCTGACAGCTCTGGCACACTCGGCCAAAAGCGGCTCTCAGCCTGGAAACCTCCCATAGAGATGAGACTGTTCTCAGGATTTCCCGGGCCGCCTGCGACCCTGCTTCGCCATGGAATCTTTGCCCGTGCCGCACCGCTGCCTGGGCCACTGCCCTGCGTCTGCCCAGGTCCTCCTCTCTATGATGATGAGCATGAAGTACACCAAGGATCCAGAAAAAGAGAGAGAAAAATTTAACACCCATCCACAGGGGCATCATGGGGCAAATCTTAGCATTGAGCCAAATTTGCTGTAAACCATTTCCAGAAAGAAATTTATCAAATCTGGGGAGGTGCGACCTGGGAAGGGACATAAGGGGGCCCTCAGAGGTACTGGCAATGTTCTTCTTGGTCGCAGTGGTGGGGGCTCAGGTGAATGCACATGCAAAGCCTCCTCAGCGAGCACCTAGGGTTAGTTCACTTTTCTCAGGTACCATGTGAATCCCCCCCTCCCAGGACAAACAGGAAGAAATCTATCATTACAGAGATGGGCCACCTGGGCACCTGCCCTCCCCACAAGACACCTCTGGCCCTAGAGGGGGTGCCTTTGCTCGCATCCCATGTATCTGTGAATCGAGCGGCAAGAAAGAATACTATTTTACATATTGGATGACACAAACGTTTCTATAAACGTGTTCGAGTAAGTTGCTTTTCCCATTCATGACATCTTCCACATTTATCCACATCAATACACGCACTTGGCAGTACCTGCCATCCAGACCCCAGCCACACCCCTTCCCCAGGGGGTGCCCGCCAGTACCCCTTCCAGCCGCCAGCACCCACATCTCTGGGCTTACCCAGAGCCACACAGCCAGAGGGGCAGCGGTGGGCCTCAAAGCCAGGCAGTGTGGCCTGGTGATTAGTCCCCTACACACATCATCAGTGAGTCACCACAAACAACGCACACAGGGCATAAGCATATAACAGGTAGCAGCTGCCCTAGGGGGTGCCCCCGGGAGCTGCCATCTGTCTGGAA